GCCATAGGACATGTAGAAATCAGGTGGGTCTGATATGGAAACTGTATTCCTACCTGCTGGCATCCAAAGTGGATGATATGGTTGAGATGCAGATTTGATGAAACTATATTTTAGGCATGTAAGACATTAGAAAATAATGAAAATATATGTACTCTGCTAGATGTAGTGAATTAAATTTTAATCAGAAAGAAATATCCATATCCTCAGTAATTGCAGACTTCCAGCTGGACAAATGGAGGGAGGTTGGCTGACAGTTGTCTTTTTTAGGCTGATGTTCCAGAGTCTTTATTGGATGAGTGTCTGATGTCCACCAGCTTGCATTCATAGGAGCCATTTTCCTCTTTTGAACATGAGAGATCTGTAGCTACATTGATCCATAAATTCTGGTGGTTGGCTAGATTATTTCACTGTCTGGGGCCACCCCAGAACTTACAGCTTTGGTTGTATTTAAGCTGGAGGGATTCTCCATTGTGTCTTGAGACTGGAAAGCCATATTAGCATGGGAACAGTACACACACTGGCAATGGAAAACCTGTTAGGTATTAATCACCGGGCATGGGGGCTGGTGTGTGGCTCTCAGGCAGAACACAGGAACCTCACAGTTTTGGGCTCCCTGAAATGTTCAACAAATTCATAATTCTATACTATTAACAACCCCATGGACTAAGGCTCAGAGGTTTCATTCAAACTCCAAGATAATGCTCTCGAGTGAAGCCTTGTTTGTGTATTTCTAGGGATGCACGGTCTTTCTTATGTCCTTCCTAGAGAGCTTACCTGCCACCGGATCCCTCTGATGCATAATTTTCCTTCTCTCTAAAATCCATGTTATGTTCTATCATTCAGAACTTCTTGAGGAACACTCAATACAGTACAAATACCCTGTGGAGTCTTCTTAATTTCAATGTGTTATATTGGTCAATCTTTAAAACTTTTTGTATATTGAAGTTTTTATATTATTATTTTTTCTTGTTTACTTGAAAATTACAGACAATAGGTTTTGATCATATCCCCTCCCCTATGTCCCACATTTAAAAGCTAATTCTATAATTTCCTCTTTCTTTTCCTACCTCCAACTATATCCTGTCCCCCCAGCCTTGCTCCTTCCCAAATTCATTAGTTTATAATTATTGTTATGAAGAAATATTAACACACACATATATATAAACAAAGGTACAAATATAACCCACTGAATCAATTGTTTAGTGTTCAGTATTGCTTTGTGTCATTGGAAAATTCACAGCCCCATCTCAAATTGAAAAAGAGGGAATTTATTCTGGAGACAAATTTGAGTGATCATGGCCAATGAACACAGACTTAGGTGATCCAAGATTCAATGTTCCCTTGGGGATGTAATTTCTTGATGATCTCATAGTACAATATAAAGAAAGCTGTAGCTCAAATAAATTGTTAGAAATATCAGAGAAGAGGTCCCTGGCAAAATAGGAAAGGCCTAAGATAACATCTGATATTATTCTTAGCTTTTAGGTTGTTGGAAACCAGTGCTCTGATAAGTTACTAGATTTGGTTATAAGAGACTACCTCACTTGCAGAACTGAACAAGAAATGGTATTTCAGGCTTCTACAGGCAGCCTGGAATAAGGTAATGAATTTCTAGACCTGCAACAGTCCAACCTTTCCACATAATTGAGTTCTAAAGAGCCAGTCTCCACAAATGACTCTTTCCAGGAGTTCTCATGTATGCATTTTCATAGAGGAACACATTTATTCATACGCATTCATTTATACACATATGTAAACTTATATAGAGAATGTAATTATATACATGATGTATTATCTGCGTGTTTACATTTATATATGTATATATACACCTGTATGAATTTAATTCATACATAAAATTATGTATCTATGCATTCATATGCATGTTTATACATACATGTGTAAGCATTTGTATTCATGTATGCATTTATAGCCATATATAAATTTATAGACATGTTTACATGCATACACATATTTTATACAAATATATGAATTTATGCAATGTACATATTGCTACACATGTATGTATTTAATTACATACATACATACATGTATTTATATACATATGTATATATATATATATATATATACATACAGCAATATGTACATTGCATAAATTTATATACATACATGCATTGATACATATGTACACATATAAACACATGTATAAATCTATATACATGTCCACTTATATTGTTGAACACTTGGTATTGGATAATCCCAAGGGAAGACTAATTTCTCCCTCCCTCAATGGTTGCTAATTGCCAGTTTTTGAACAACAGATGCTCTCATAATATGTCATCTAGCAATAGACCTCATGAAACACAGTGTAACCAAAGGCATTTCTTCCTGCTGCCTACAGGTATCTAGGTAGAATCTCTGTCAACAGAATACAGTAGACTTGAGACCCATGAGTTCTCTTATTGTCTTTAGTGTGGTTAGCCATGATCTCATTTACTCCGGGTTTTGAAAGTAGCTCCTGCTGACCCCTCCCCAACCACGAAATGCCATGAGTGAGAAAGCTGAGCCCATCCACCTCCTTTCAAAGTTTCCTTTCCTCTCATTTTAAGCACTCTTTTACTGCACATGAATTCAGGAGAGTTTCCTCTTTATGTGTTCTGTTTTTATTTACTTTGACTCTTTCACTGTGTTACACAGGAAACTCTGCTCACTCTTTTAATCTGTAATCTTGAAATAAAAGATCTTCTTTTTGTTTACTATTTTTTAAATATTATTAATTTTTTTAAAACTTTATATCTGTAATTACTTTGCCAATATGTTTCTGTGCCTGGTGCCTGCAGAGGCCAAAGGAGGATGTGGGTTCCACCCTAAAACTGTGCTGCACACTATTGTAACACAAAGAGAGGCTGCTGTGACCTGAATCAGAATATGACACAAGAGCTGCAAGTAGGCTTAACTTCTCAGTCATTTCTCAAGTCACAGAAACACTTTTCAAAATGGTTTATTTATTTTATGTCATATGTTTGAGTGCTTACCTTCCTCTATAATTGTGTTGGACACATTTGTACCTGGTGCCCACATACTTTAGAAGAAGATTTCTTGCCTAAAAATACAGATGGTTCTGAGTCTCCAAGTAGGCACTGGGAATTGAGGCCATAGATTTTTTACAAAAGGAATCAGAGTCCCTAGCTGCTTAGCCATCTGTCCATCTCCCATAGATAAACATTAACACTCCGTGATAGGAAAACAAAAGTATTAGACAATTAAATTTGAGTATATACGAACACCTGATTTTGACAAAGATTCCAAATATATACGCTGGAACGAAGAGAACATCTTCAACAACTGATGCTGGCATAACTGGATGCAAACATGTAGAAGACTACAGATAGACCCAAGCCATTCACTCTGTACAAACTTAAGTCAAAATGGATCATACATCTCCACATAAACCTAGCCACACTGAATCTATTAGAAAAAGTGTGAAATACCTTGAATTAATTGGTACAGGAGACTTCTTGGACACTACACAAGTATAACAGGCACGGAGGTCAACAATTAATAAATGAGACCTCCTGAAACTGAGAAGCTTCTGTAAGGCAAGGGACATAGTCAGCAAAACAACACGGCAGCCCTCAGCCCGGGAAAAGATATTCACCAACTCCACATCTGACAGAGGGCTGATCTCCAAAATATACAAAGAACTCAAAAAGCTAGTCTCCAACACACCAAACAATCCAATTAAAAATTGGGGTCCAGAAATAAATAGACAATTCTCAATAGAGGAATATCTAAAATGGCTGAAGGACACATAAGAAATGCAAATCAAAAGAACACTGAGATACCATCTTACTCCTGTCAAAATGGCTAAAATCAAAAACACCAATGACAGTTTATGCTGGAGAGGATGTGGATAAAGGAGGACACTTCTCAACTCGTGGTGGGTTGTCAACTTGTACAGCCACTTTGGAAATCAGTATGTCAGCTCCTCAAGAAAATGGGAATCAGTCTACCACAAGATCCAGCAATTCCACTCCTAGGCATATACACAAAAGAAGCACATTCATACAACAAGGGTATTTGTTCAACCATGTTTATAGCAACAATATTTGTAATAGCCAGAAACTGGAAGCAGCCTAGACGACCCTCAACTGAAAAATGGTTAGAGAAAATGTGGTGCATTTACACAATGGAGTACTACTCAGCAGAAATAAGTGATGGAATCCTGAAATTTGCAGGAAAATGGATAGAACTCTAAGAAACCATTCTGAGTGAGGTAACCCAGTCACAAAAAGACGAACATGATATGTGTTCACTCATATGTGGATTTTAGACATGGAGTCAGCGATTGCCAGCCAACAATCCACACTGCCAGAGAAACTAGTCAACAAGGAGGACCCTAAAAGAGACAAACTCTGTACCCTGGTGAAGGACAAAGGGTCACCATCCCCTGAGCAAATTGAGAACATAGGAAGAGAGTGGAGAGGGAGCTACGAGAATGAGAGGGAAGAAAAGGAAGGATGCAGAGGTCATGAGGGAGCAGAAATGTTGAGTCAGGTGTAGATTAGAAGAAAGGATATGTGATATGTAGGGTTTTTAGCTTGGGGGCAGTGTTAGGAGAGGAAAAGAGGGAGAAGGGAACTGAGTTTGTCATTGAACTGTTATTCAATCTTGTTTGTAATTCCAATATAAAATAGAATTTGAGTATAAGATCGTTTCAGTACAAAATAAAAGTTTATGAAGTTCTTCACATTCTAGAGAAAACATAATTGACTCTTCCTTATCTCAGTGTTTGATGAATAACCCTGTAGCATAAGCACCATAAGCACCATGTACTCAGAAACCATAGGACACAGACACCTGACACTTCAATCCACACTATGCACTTCCAGAAACCAATACTGAAGTATAAGTCAAACTCTGAGGGTTCCTGAGCCATTCCATGATGTTCCTTAGCTGCCAGGGGCTCACTCACACTAGTCTTACATGTCAGTAAAGAGGTCAGGGCTTAAAATCCACTAATATCCCAAATTTGTTATGAGTTTCTGACAATAATGCCCTAACTGTACTCATCATTCTGCCCCTGCTGTTTAGGGAGAAATGGAAAAACTACCAATATTTGCTGACTTTATACTTTGCCATTGAAGAGATCAATAAGGATGCCCATCTGCTTCCCAATGTAACCTTGGGATTCCACCTCTACAATGCCTTTCACTCTCACCGCAGAACTTTAGAGGGCCCTCTGATGTGGCTATCTGAAAGGAGTGAGTTTATTCCTAACTACAAATGCAAAACTCAACACAAAGCTCTTGGAATCATTGCGGGAATCAGGCCTGAATTTTCTGCTGCAATTGGAACTCTTTTGGAACTCTACAAAATTCCACAAGTAAGTTAGTAAAATTTGATATCCACAGTCATGTAGGATACAAAACAAAGGAAACTGAGTTGCTTGTTCATTGACTTTGATTTAAAATAGAAGTGAATGAATTATCTGGATACTGCTATGATCAATGGTGGAATAAATGTGGTGAAAACATAAGCAGTAAATGCTTGGTTTCCTAAGGAGATCACTTAGTAGTATTCATGATTCTATCTTCTATCATTGGCAAGATGTACCACGATGCTTCATAGATAAGTGCTGCTCACTAGTCATATAACTAACTACACAAGATAGGGTATAAAATCTCATAGTTCTATTCAGTATTCAACAAGGACAGAGAGGAAGAGAGAACCCAGGACCTATAAATTAATTTGGAACAATCCTCAAGGACATCACTACTGAAAAATTTTGCAAGGAAAGTATGATCTGTCATGAAAGCAGATCTCTGAGTAGCACTCACAGAGAACATCCACTTAGAGATATCCCCACAATAGGCTGTAACAAAGCACTACTGAGGCAAAGCATCCATCTGCAAGTATCACTACAAACTGAGAAAGCATTAGGGTAGGCCCCATGCTTGGTAGTTAATCAAGATTAGAAAAACAGATAGTGCAACACTGATTACTGTCACTCAGTAAAACAATTCATATATATTGCATCCTAAATTAAGAAATCATGATATACATGATTATTTCTGTCTTTCTCACAGACTCGCATTTTACACTAGATGCTGGGTGATGACTTCATTAAATCTATCATTAGGGAAGGATGAGGCAACAATTATTGGTGATGTGCCCCCAGATCCTCATTCCTTGCTCTTTTTCATTTTCCCTCCATTTTTATTTAAATTAGAAGGATTGTTTTACATGTCAATGCCAGTTCCCAATGCCTCCTTTCCTCACCTGCGCCCCCACTAACACGCTACCTATCCCATACCATTTCTGCTCCCCAGGGAGAGTGAGTTATTCTATTGGGGATGGCTTCAGAGTCTGTCATATCCTTTGGAATAGGGCATAGGTCCTCTTCCATGTGTCTAGGCTGAGGGAATATCCTTCTATGTGAAATGGGCTCCCAGATTTCATTCCGATGCTAGGAATAAGTACTGATCTACTCCAAGAGGCCCCATAGATTTCTAAGGCCTCCTAACTGACACCCACATTATTGGGGTCCACATCAGTTCCATGTTGGTATCCCACTGATTAGCCTGGGGTCCATGTATTTCCCCTTGTGCAGGCCAGTTGTTTATGTGGGATTCACCAGCCAAGCCCAACCACTTTGATCTTCATTCCTCCATATCTATAACTGTGTTCCAGAGTTCAGTTTAGTGTATATTAATGGGTGCCTGCTGAGTTGTACATCATTGTATAAATGCACCACATTTTCTCTATCCATTCTTCAGATGAAGGGCATCTAGGTGGCTTACAAGTTCTGCTATTACAAACAATGCTGCTATGAACATGGTTGAACATATGTCCTTGTTGTATAAACATGCATAATTTGGGTATATGGCCAAGAGAGGAATTGCTGAATCTTGAGGTAGACTGATTGCCATTTTCCTGAGCAACCACCATACTTATTTCCAAAGTGGTCTTATAAGTTTGCACTCCCACCAGCAATGGAGGAGTGTTCCTTTTTCTCCACATCCTCTCCAACATAGATTGTCATTGGTGTTTTTGATTTTAACCATTCTGGCCAGTGTAAGATGGCATCTCAGACTTGTTTTGAGTTGCATTTCTCTGATGGCTATGGATTTTGAGCACTTTCTTCAATGTTTTTCAGCCATTTTAGATTCCTCTGTTGAGAATTATATATTTAGTTCTATGGCCCACTTATTAATTTCATTGATTGCTGTTATGGTCTCTAGCTTGTTGAGTTCATTGTATATTTTGGAAATCAGGCCTCTGTCAGATGTGGGTTTGGTGAAGATATTTTCCCATTCTGTGGGCTGTGGTTTTGTCTTCCAGACTGTATCCTTTGCCTTACAGAAGCTTCTCACTTTCAGGAGGTCCAATTTATTAATGGTAGATCTCAATGTCTGTGCTACTGTTGGTATAGTCAGGAAGCACTCTCCTGTACAATTTCGTTCAAGGGTATCTACTACTTTCTCTTCTAAGAGGTTCAGTGTGTTTGGATTTATGTTGAGGTCTTTCATCCATTGGGCCTTAAGTTTTGTGCATGAAGACATAGATGGATCTTTCCGAAGTCTGCTACATGACAGAATACAGTTATGACAACACCACTTGCTGAAGATGCTCACCTCCATTGTATATCTTTATCTTCTTTGTCAAAAATCAGGTGTTTGTAGTTATGTGGATTAGTATCAGGGTTTTCAACCCAATTCCATTGGTCTACCTGCCTATTTTTGTGCCAATATCAGGCTGTTTACAGGACCAACGCTCTATAAAGAGCCTGAACTCAGGGATGGTGATGCCTCAGGAATTTCCCCTATTGTACAGGTTGTTTTGGCTGTCCTGTGTCTTTTGTTTCTCAATAAAAAGTTCAGTATTTTTCTTTCAAGGTCTATGAAGAATTGTGCTGGGATTTTGATGGGGATTGTGTTGAATCTGTAGATTGCTTTTGGCAAGATTGCCATTTTTACTATGTTGATCCTACTGATCCAAGATCATGGGAGATCTTTCCATTTTCTGGTATCATTGTTAATTTCTTTCTTTAAAGAGTCAGAGGGTGATGTTTCTCTGATTTCTTTCTCAGCCCTCTATTGTCAGTGTGTAGTAGGGCTACAGTTGATCTTCTCAAAGAACCAACTCTTTATTTCATTGATTCTTTGTAATGTTTTCCTAGTTTCTACTTTACTAATTTAAGCCCTCAGTTTGATTATTACCTGGTATCTACTCCTCAGTGGTGAGTTTGCTCCTTTTTGCTTTAAAGCTTTCAGTTGTTCTGTTAACACTCTAGTGTGACTATTCTCCAGTTTCTTCATGTGGGCACTTAATGCTATGAACTTTCCTCTTAGTACTGTTTTCATAGTATCCCATAAATTTGGGTATGTTGTGTCTACATTCTCATTAAACTCTAGGAAGTCTTTAATTTCTTTTTTTTTATTTCTTCCTCACCCCTGGAGTGGTGCAATTGGGTGTTATTTTATTTCCATGACTTTGTAGGTTTTCTGCAATTTGTATTGCTGTTGAATTCTAATCTTAAATTATGGTGGTCTGATGAGATACAGGGGCTTATCTCAATTTTTTGTATCTGTGGAGGTTTGCTATGTTGCCAAGTATGTGGTGAATTTTAGAGAAGGTTCTATGTGTCACTGAGAAGAAGTTATATTCTTTTGTGTTGGGATGGAATGATCTATAGATGTCTATTAACCCAATTGATTCAAAACTTCTATTACATTCTTTGTTTCTTTGTTAAGTTTCTGTCTGGTGTTTATGTCTAGTGTTGAAAGCAGGGTGTTGAAGTCTCCTACTATAAGTGTGTGTGGTTTTATGTTTAGTTTGACCTTTAGTAATGTTTCTTTTACAAATGTGGGTGCCTTCGTATTTGGGGCATAGATGTTCAGGATTGAGACTTCATCTATTTTTTAACCACATGTTTTATTAGTTCAAATTAGGAACAAGCTTGCTTCACATGTCAATCCCTTCTCCCTCTCCCTCCCCTTCCCCTCAACCCTCCACTCAACTCCACTCTTGCCCCCACCCATCCCCCTTCTCTCCCCAGGCAGGTTAGTGCCCCTAATGGGTTTTCCCCAAAGTCTAGCACATCATCCTGTCCAGGCCTAAGCCCTCCCCCATGTGTTCAGGCTGAGATACCATCCATTAGGGTGGGATGGGATATCAAATTTCCACCTTACAACTGGAAAAATACTGATCAGCTACCAGCGTCCGCATAGAGTGCAGACGCCACCTCATTGACATCCATGTTCAAGGGTCTGGAACTGTCCCACTCTGGCCTCCCAGAGAGCAGTCTGGGGTCTATGTGCTCCTCCTTGTTCATGCCAGCTGTTTCTGTGGGTTTCTCCAGCCTGGTACCCACCCCTTTGATGGACTTTTCATGTGATGAGTATGAAATGCCCTTCTTCATCTCTTTTGATTGATTTTTGCTTGAAATCTAATTTGTTAGATATTAGGATTGCTACACAAGATTGTTTCTTGGGTCCCTTTGATTGGAAAATCTTTTCCCAACCCTTTGCTCTGAGGTAACGCCTTTCTCTGTAGTTGAGGTATATTTCTTGTATACAGCAGATGGATTCTCTCTTCATATCCATTCTGTTAACCTGTATCTTTTTATAGGCAGGGGAAGACCATTGACACTGTGGCATATTGGTGTCCATTGATTGTTGGTTCTTGTTTGTTTTGGATTTATTGTTGGTGGTGTCATTGTGTGTGTATTTCACCCTAATATTTCATTTTGTGTTTGGTAAAGTTGGATTATCGGTTGCCTATGTTTTTGTGAGAGCAGTTATTCTGTTGGGTTGGAGTTTTCCCTCCAGAACTTTCTGTAGTGCTGGGTTTTTGGATATGTATTGTGTAAATCTGATTTTGTCATGGAATATCTTGTTTTCTCCATCTATAATGATTGAAAGCTTTGCTGGGTACATCAAAGCTGTGTTGGCATCCATGTACCCTTAGTGTTTGTAAGACATCTATCCAGCATCTTCTGGCTTTCATAGTTTCAATTGAGAAGTCTGGTGTAATTCAGATAGGTCTGCCTTTATATGTTACTTGACATTTTCACTTTGCTGCTCTTAATATTTACTCTTTATTCTGAAGGTTTGGGGTTTTGATAATTATGTGAAGATGGGACTTCTTTTTGTGGTCCAGTCTATTTGGTGTTCTGTAAGCTTCTTCTACTTTCATAGGCATATCCTTCTGTAGTTTGGGGAAGATTTCTTCTATGATTCTGTTGAATATGTTTTCTGTACCTTTGAGCTGTATTTCTTCAGCTTCTTCTATACCTATTATTCTTAGGTTCATCCTTTTAATGGTGTGCCATATTTCCTGGATATTTTCTTTTAGGGATTTGAAGGACTTGAGATTTTCTTTGGCGGATTAATGTATATCCTCTAGTGAGTCATCAACAACTGAGATTCTCTCTTCCATCTCTTGTTTTCTATTGGTTATACTCATATCCTTAGATTCTGATCATTTATCCAGCCTTTCTATTTCCAGCATCCCCTCATCGTGTGTTTTTTTGTTTCTATTTCAGCTTTCATGCCTTGAACAGTTTCAAGTGCTTCCTTCACTTATTTGGTTGCTTTATCTTTAGATTATTTAAGAGAATTACTAATTTTTTGAATTCTTTTGGTTGGTCTTCCTTCCATTTCTTTAAGAGATTTTCTTGTTTCCTCTTTATGAGTCTCAAACATCTTCATAAAGGAGATTTTTCAGTTTGTCTCTTCTTCTTCCTCTGTGTTGTGTTTTTCAGATCTTGCTGGTTAGAGTTCCTAGCTATTGATGGTGTCATATTGGTCTTTCTGTTGTTGAGTGTGTTCTTATTCTGCATTCTTCCCATCTCTTAGTCCAGTGGGTTCTGGTGGGGTCTCTCTATCTCCCTTTGTCACCTGGTTGTAAGTGTGGGCCATGTCTTCAATGTGTGCAGCTATGGAAGGTCTTTCCTCTCCTGGTAGTCTCCTCATTCAAGAGTGGTCAGGATAGTGGAGGGGGAAGGAAGAGTGAGGTGTTTTCAGACTCAGGGAGTTTCTCTCTGTCTGGGTGTGTCCACTAACTGCAGTCATAGGACCAGAGAGATCCTGTGCTAATGGGGGCATTGGACAGGAGTAGGGCTCGGGATAGATCGTGGCGGTGGAGATGGAAGGAAGAGTCTATAAACTGGAAACTTTTACCACTTGGAAGAACAATAAAGAACATTATAACAGAATGTGGATGAAGTTGCAATAGAAATTGTGTGTGTGTGTGTGTGTGTGTGATGGATTCAGCATTTTTTTATAAATTTGATTTAAATTAGAAACAGTCTTATTTTACATACCAATCCCAGTTCCCTCACCATCCCATCCTCCCATCCCCCAGCACTGACCCCCATTCAACCCCACAATTCACTCCCCAGGATTGGTGAGGCCTACCATGATAGATCATCAAAGTCTATCTAGTCATTTGTTACTGGGTCTATGCCCTCCCCTGTGAATCCAGGCTGAGAGGGTATTCTTCCATGGGGAATGGGCTCCAGAAATCCATTTGTGCACTAGGGATATATACTGGTTCCACTATCAGAGGCCCAGACCTCCTAGCAGACACCCACATGTGGGAGCCTGGTTTGGTCCTTTGCTGGTTCCCCAGCTGTCAGTCTGGTGTCCATGAGCTCCCACTTGCTCAGGTCAGCAGTTTCTGTGGATTTCACAGCATGGTCTTGACACATTTTCCATCACTCCTCCCTCTGTAAAACTGGATTACAGGAGTTCACCTCCGTGCTTAGCTGTGGATCTCTTATTCTGCTTCCATCAGCTACTGAATGAGAGCTCTAGGATGGCAATTAAGGTAGTCATAAACCTCATTACAGGGGAAGGCCTATTAAGGTAGCCTCTCCACTATTGCTTAGATTCTCAGTTGGGTTCATTTTTGTGGTTCTCTGGATATTTCTGTAGAGCCAGATTTCTCTTTAAACCTGAAATGGCTCCCTCTACTAAGGTGTCTCTTCTCTTGCTCTCCTCTATTCATCCCTTGACTCAATCTTCCTGATCACTCATGCTCTTCTCCCTCCTCCTCCACTGCACTTTCTCCTATCTCCCTCCTCCCTACAACCTGTGCTTCCAGTTGCTCAGTAGCGCTACTGTCTTTCCCCTTCTCTGGGAGATCATATATGTCTCTCTTAGGGTCCTCATTGTTTCTGAGATTCTCTGGAGATGTGGATTGCAAACATAATGCCAGTAGCCCAGACACTGAGATTGACAATTAAAAAATGGCACCTTCTGAAACTGAGAATGTTCTGTAAGGCAGAGCAGTCAGTCAACAAGACAAAACAGTAGCCCACAGAATGGGAAAAGATATTCACCAACCCCACATCTGACAGAGGGCTGCTTTCCATATACAAAGACCTCAGGAAGCTAGTCACCAAAACACCAAATAATCTAATTAAAAAGTTGGGTACAGAACTAAACAGAGAATTCTCAATACAGGGATCTAAAATTGCTGAAAGACACATAAGAAAGAGTTCAACATCCTTAGCCATCAGCGAAATGTAAATCAAAACATCTCTGAGATACAATCTTATACCCATCCAAATGGATAAAATCAATAATATCAGTGACAGTTTATGCTGGTGAGGATGTGGGGAAGGAGAACAGGCCTCTATTGCTTGTCGGAGTGTAAAGTTGTACAGTTACTTTGGAAATCAGTATGGTGGTTTCTCAGGAAAATGGGAATCAGTCAACCTAAAGACCTAGCAATCACACACTTAGGCATATACTTAAAGGATGCATATTCATACAACAAGGGCAGCTGTTCAATTATGTTCATAGCAGCATTATTTGCAATACCCAGAACCTGGAAGCAACCTAGATTCCCCTCAACCAAAGAATGGATAAAGAAAATGTGGTACATTTACACAGTTGAGTACTACTCAGCAGAAAAAAAAATGAAGTCTTGAAATTCACAGACAAATCGATACAAGCAAAAGAAACCATCCTGATTGAGGTAACCAAGGCACAGAAAGACAAACATGGTATTTACTCACTCATATATGGGTAGGAGGCATAGAGAAAATGATCACTGTAAAATCTTTAACCCATCCTTCACTCCTGAGAAGCATTTCACATTTGGTAACCTGAGTAGGGCCTGGTACTGCTCTCTGATCCCTGACAATCTAGAAACTCAAAATAACATTCTTTTCTTTGCTTCTTCAGGTCACATATGGATTGTTTCATTCTGTGCTAAGTGATAAAGATACATTCCCATCTGTGTACCAGATTTCTCCTCAAGAAAAAGGTCTGACCCAAGGAGTGATCTGTTTATTGCTGCACTTTGGCTGGAAGTGGGTGGGGCTCATTGTGGCTGATGACATACATGGAAGGGAGTTCCTCTCTGACCTGACAGCAGAGCTTGCTTCAGAAGATATCTGTGTGGCTTTTACAGAAAAAATACCAACTTTTATGAAAGTGGATTTTTACTTTGGGGTTGGGTTGGTGAATTTGAGCCAACATACAAAAGTAAATGTGCGTGTGTTCTATGGGGATATAGATGATGTCCTGATTTTCTACATACAAAATGAAATTATATCAAAGAGAAAGAAGATGTGGATCATGGCAAAGCCCAACTTTGTTTACTTACAATCTGTATTTTATAAGTGGATTGGTTTGATGCCCAGCGTTTCCATATGGAATGCAGTGTATGCAGTGGCCCATGCCCTCCATGAAATGCTTTTGAGTAAAACAGAAATAGATTCTCACAAAGACATAAACCAGGACAGGCTTCTACCTTGGCAGGTAAGTCTACCTCATAAAGAAAGGAGACACTAGGAACTTACATCATTAGTAGGTACTTCACTGAGTTCAAACACACAACACACTTTCATATTGTAATGAAAAGAATAATGCAAAATGTTGCTTACTTCTAGGGTCCAACCCCAGTCAGAACCAGGTTAAATAAGGAAATCCATGAAGGCCAGGAGATCCAGCATAGATACTTACTTGAGGTTTACCAGACTTATCTGTCTGAGGGGGAAAATAAGGAAACAGGGATGCTTTCTGTGGGTAAATTTCTCTTTACTTCATCTTTTTTTCTATTATTATTATTATTATTATTATTATTATTATTATTATTATTAATGCAAGTTAGGGAACAGGTTTGTTTCACATGTAAGTCCCCTCACCCTCCCCACACCCCCATTCCTTCTGCTCCACCTCCAACCTACCCCCCACCCCATCCACCCACCACTCCCCCGGCAGGGTAGGGCCCCCAACAGGGGCTCCACCAAGTCCACCAAATCTTCCTGTCCCCTCCCCAGGTGTCCAGAGGCAGAGCACATCCCTTCAAGTACGATGGGCTCTCAAAGTCCCTCCACACACACCAGGGCAAAACGCCAGTCCACCTCCAGGTGCTCCCAGGAGTGCAGGGGCCTCCCCATTGGCATCCATGATCAGGGGGCTGGGTCAGTCCCATACTGGCCTCCAAAAGAGCGTCTGGGGTGGATATGCTTTCCCTTTTTCAGGCCAACTGTTTCTGTGGGTTTCTCCAACCTGGTTTTCATGCTCTCAATTAGCTCGGGAGTTCATTCCACTTCCCAATCCTGGGGTCCATTTATCCCTTAGAGTCATTCATGATTTCTAGTTTCTTTTTTGGAAGAGGATTATTGGCTGGTAAACTTTTGCTCTATGTCTAAAAATCATATAAGAGTGAGTGCATACCATGTTTGTCTTTTTGTGATTGGGTTACCTCACTCAGGATGGTTTCTTCTAGTTCCATCCATTTGCCTGTGAATTTCAAGATTCCATTGCTTTTTTCTGCTGAGTAGTACTCCATT